ATCAGGGTGAGGCGCGTGCAAATAACACACAGCCTTCTTCAAACCTTGCACACAACCATTAGGTCGCGTACTATCCGCGACCTAACGGCTTTTGTCAGTCGATCAGTAAATGATGTCTAATTTTCTGGACGACTGGTGATGATATCCTGATAAACTGGTGCCTTTTTGTGTCAAGTCACATTATATTTTGACTTATCATAGAATACTGACAATAACTGCCTGGAGTTGACACGGGATGATGACCGATTGCGTCACTAGTCTTGTTTACAATGTAGATGTAATCAGTACAATGCCACCATAGCCGTCCACAGTCTCGTACACTGTTTAGTTGAACAACCAGTTTCAGTCTTTGATTACAGAACGACGTATGATTGTCGAAGATGCAGACAACTGGTTCTCCATATTTTCTGATAGACTGTTATTCAAAACGTCTAAATTCTTCATAAACAGAATATTTTTGACCTTCCAGTTTATAAAACCTCACCTCGTTTACGAGCTCGCTAGCTTTCTAGCCGGTCCCAAACTCGCGTGAAGAGTAAAGGTCGGACGTGGAGGGTAGCGATCCTACACCACCAAAACAATCAATCTGCTACACAAACTTCAGTGCACAGCAAAAATACAGAAAATATAACAAATCAGACTTAATTCTCTCTGGAATTAGAGAGGCGAAATGACATAGCAGGCTGGTGAAAGCCTTCGGGAAGCCAGTCAGTTGATGTGTCGTCTTCCAATAATGTCAAGAACAACAATGTGAGTGTGGAGTGTTCGTACAATGTACAAAGCTGGAAAGGCTGCCGAGTTAGCCAAAGAAATGAGGAGATAAGGTATAGAAGTGCTGGGAATTTGCGAGAGCAGATGAAATGGATGTGGATTGTCAAAATTGTCAACTGGAGAGTCAAAAATCTACTCCGATCTGTCATCCAGACGACGACTACGAGCACACTGAGTCAGTCAATAGCTATCATGATGTAACCAGTGGCAGCCAAAGCCCTAATACAGTAAGAACCAATCTCCTCCAGCAAGATCATGACAACAAGATTCAAATCAAAAGGAAGGTCACAATTATCCAATGCTACGGACAGTGCTACAAACAATGCGGAACGAGACAAGAAGGAAGAGTTTTACAGACAACTACAAACAGTAATGGACAACATTCCGAAAGCTGGCACAAAAATCCTCACAGGCGATATGAATGCTAGCCGAAATGGGAGCAAATTATATAGGAAGAGAACTCATCATCGATCGAGAGGCTCTGGGAGAAATGAATGAGAACGGAGAATTATCCGCAGAATTCTGCGCTTTCAATGATTTGGTGATCGGAGGCAGTGTGTACAAACACAAGGATATACTCACAGCAACATGGATTTCGCCTGAAGGAAATACCACAAACCAGATAGATTTCATCTCAACACTGTTCAAGGATGTGAAGACGCAGTCTTCTGGATACAAAGTCGACAAGGAGAGCAGATGTGGGCTCACACCGTCAGCTAGTTTTAGGAACCTTCAAGGTGAAGATGAAATCCCTCAAAACAAATGGAGACAGGCCACAACTCAAGTTTGGCATTCAGAAACTGAACCACAAAACCACAGATCAGAGCAAAGTCGGAGACATATGATTATGAGCAATAATTTGTGCTCGATAAGTCATCAGTTAATATAACTGTACAACACTGTGTGATTTATGAAAATAAAATCTTATCTATAATGGAGTTATACTCTACTACTGTGCCCAAGTTTTATACTTACATCAAGAACAAATAGCACCAGTCATCATCAATGGGAGAAATTTGAAAGAGGTTACTTCCTTCAATTATCTCGGCAGCATTGTTTCAGTTACAGGTAGCCAGCACGCGTGAGGATGTGAATGCCAGCCAGAATTGGAAAGCCAAGACAAACCTTCATCACTCTGAAATCAGTTTGGACATCCTCCGCACTCAGCCAGCATAAAGAGCAAGATTCGGATTTTCAACACCAATCTTAAGCCAGTCACTTCTTCTATATAGGTCAGAAACGTGGCCAGCGGATCACGAAAGCCAACTGCAGACATTTATCAACAACAGCTGCCTTCGCTGAATCCATATTAAAGATCAAATAGCCAGCGAGAAAGAATCAGCAACGAGAAATTATGGGGACAAACCAATCAAAAAAATCGATTGCTCAACGAATATGTGGGAGAAAATGAAGATGGACTGGACACACACTGAGGAGACCGTCGAATGACATCGCATGCCAAGTCATGGCTGCAGTGGAATCAGAATGGGGGAAACGACGATTCGGAGTGTGGTCAATGGTGACATGGAGGAGATTGGTGTTGTGAGGAGGAGATGAGAGATTATGGACGATTCGTGGACCTGCCTAAAGAGGATAGCAGAGAATAGGACAAAGTGGAGATGCGCTGTTGAAGCCCTGTATTCCACTCGGAACCAAAGGGAATAAAAAGAATAATAGTAAAATTCTTAAGCATGACACTGACGACACTTTGGCCGCAACCATTACGTACTGGTTCAAATAATTAACAGACACTTCTCTACTCTCATACAGGCTAATCTGGAATGAATTTTCAACGCACAAACATGCAATAAAGTGTAACACTTCAAAGTTGCCACCTTACACACACACACACACAAATAGAGCAAACACATACAGGTACAGAAAGAAAAAATGTTACCAACAGTTTCAAGCCACTGGTGGTTACTAGCATCTCTGCACCTTCCTACATGGATTAAACGCATAGCCTAAAACTGCATGCATTGTTGCCATGTTTCGATTCGCTTTCCAACACAACCCGACGTCAACTAACATCAATCGACGAGGAGGAGCAATGGCTTGGTGTGCATGCGTAACATGTGCCCCTGCCATTTCAATCGATGCAGCTTCACAAACTGATTGATTAACTCTCCTACTCACATAACTTAAATATCTCCCACTATATTATACCGCTTAACACCCATCCTGCAAGTGTAACTCAACTTGAAAAAGGCTCTCTCTTCTAATCTAAAACGAAGATAAGCACATGGAGTCCAGAACATGACTGCGTTTACACAGTTGTCAATTTTAAACTATGATTTATACGTTTTGTTAGCCTCACAATCAACAATCCGCAAGTCTACACACACTTATGCCCCACTAATACAGATAAGTGCATACGTGTATCACGTTTCGCGTTAAAAGAGGGGATTAGGTCAAAAAAAATGTGTAATGTTTTGTGATCATAACGTTATACTTTTATTTTACAATATGGCATAGGATAAGATGAATCTCAGAAAACCATAACTACATATCCGGTATTACCAATAATCGAAACTGGTAAATACCCAAAAATTGGTTTCCAATTTATGACCAGCCAAACATGTAGCCGAGTGCTTTGGATATTAATCCAGAATCCCTGTCCCGTCGAACCTACAGTAATGAAAAAAAAAACAAATTAAGGAATAAAGGGGTTTGTAAACAATTATATCAGTTAAGTATAATCTGAACGAGGTAAAATGTTAACTCAAGTAGTCACCGACAATTTCGGTCTGTATACAATCGCTGAGTTTCATTCTAAAAGGAATTGCTGATATGCAGTGCTTAGAATGCTTATTTCTTCCTAAGCTTCACTTGTTCATGTGTGTGCTGACGATGAGTCCCAAACGAAAATGAAACAGCTGTCCAGTCCACCCAGGTTCTCCAGTGGTTCTCTAACCGATGTCAGCTCATGATGAAATCCTGTAACCAGTCAAATCCCCGCAAACCAACACCTTGATAGTTAATCTAATGCTAACTAGCAACTGCCTGTATACAGAAAGTTACGTGGAGTTCTAGTGAGAGGTCGCAACCAGCGGAGTCCACCAAGTCAGGGAGGAGAACAGTTACTCGACCATGACATTGACTGGCGGTTGCGTTATAAACATCGTGAATTAGCAGAAGATGGAATTCATGGACTGACCATCGGATCAGGCAGGTGTCCCAGTGGCTTTATGGCCTACAACCTCACCTTGTAACCAGAAGGTCCTAGGTTCGAAACCCCATGGGTGAGTACTGTTGAAGAGTCCAGAACTAGGATGAGATACCAGTCCAGTACTCCCAGGTTCTTTAATGGTCCTCTAACTGATATCAATCCGTGACCAAAATTGATCACAAAGTTTATTATATTACTCTGCTCACGATTACTCCTACTAATACTACTAAAAATTTCTCATAGAAACATGCCTAGATACGCACTTCACTTACATCCTCATACCTCGTTGACTGGTAGATACTATGCACTTTCACTCAATTCCATAACAGGCTATAGAAGAAACTGCTATTTTTGGCACATTCAATAACTGCAACAATTATTCAGGCTTAGTGTAAGAGTAGAGTTTGGGTATCGTGGTAGAAAATAATCCAATATATCGGATGATTCGATCAGCAAAGATTCGGTGATTAAACTCTCCATCCACTTAACTATGTTATTATATTGTGCCATGTACTACTAGCAAAATTTATCAATAGTATATAGATGCAGATTGATAGGAAGTAACCTAAATTGAAAAACAACATTTTGAAACAATAGCTACAGAAATAGAAGTGTTTATTTCTCAAATCTGCAATTCGCCTACGTTGTGGTCAGAAAACAACCTCAAGATTTAACCCCCAAAAAATCAACAACTAATCAGAACAACCTACTGTCAGTAGACAACTTCACGTCCCAAAAGTTTGACCTTCAGAAAACTAACAACCAATCAGAATAGTTTATTATCCGTTGATCTAGTCGACCATAAATATAGCTAAAAACGTATAAATACGGTGAGTCTCACTAACAAAAAGGTCCCTTACCAAGTCTTATCCGGTTACAGATTCATAGTCGCGGACACTGACGAAAGCTATGGCCTTTTTGACCTTCCCTCATTAAAATCACTGTGTGCATTTATACTAAACGAAATCCTTAAACTTTGGAGGGAAATAAAAATAATAACTAAGCAGATTGTGGGGAGTGGAAAGCGAAAAGGACATGAAATGAGAGTTGGTCAACTTACACTTGCTGTTCTTGATAGACTTGTTGGTCGATTAGATGCAGCCAACGATCGCATTGAATTATGTCTGCCAATGCTACTACCTACTGGTTTGTCTGTAAGCATATTATTGCCAGAATCCATTCCAGCATTTAATGATGGCGGCTTCAATCCACCCATATCTCTATTCGGAGTTCTATTCATTGTTCCAGTTGTTTTATTGTTAGCATCATCGATACCACGGCGAATATTGTTCATACTGTTGTTATTCGATGGACTAAGGAATACAGAATCATTTATATTACTAGTGTTTGTCTGTCTACAAAACACACCAGACTTTTCTCCATCTATTACTTGCTGTCGATGAACAAAAAGAAAGCAATAAATAATTAGAATTGCCAATCATCCCATTAGTGTAAAGCAACATGAGATGGTGGTAAATGGCTTGCAGTAGGAACTAAAATGCACCTTTCGTCTGATTCGGAGCTCATCAGCAGGATAATGTGACTGTATTCGCAGTGAATCATAACACTTTCCCCTCTCTCCCCCGCTGAGACTCGAACTTAGCATCCAACGTTTCAAGCACTACACATAGTTTTTCATTAGGCCACTGTATGGGGAGGGGCAGCAGTTATTAGCTGTTATTTGTTGTTTAACTTAGTTGTTGCATTTCCCGTGTTGATTGGTGACACTGGATCAGAGTGCTGAGTCTCTGTTGACATGTCGGTTTCTAGAGCAAAGTGATAGCAAACTCTGGTTCACCGTGTTAATCTTCAGATTCTGTTGGAGCGTCCATCGATAGTCATTGAGGATTTCAGTCTCATATAATCAATCAGTGGTCATGCCTCGGTGGTTCAGCAATACAATGCTTGCCAATCATTCCCACATGGTCCGGGCTTCGATTCCCAGACAGCCCACACATTTACCCCACCCTCGAACCCGGCTGTAAGCCCGACAAGGAGGGAAGGTTGAGAGGGCAAGGTTGACCAGCAACCCCAACCCGTTAAAAACACCACTGCTACTGAGACTTCAAAGCTCCAGAAGCCTGAAGTTCTATGTTCCCCCATCGGAACGTAAAGGAATACAATAAATCAAAAATATATAATCAATAAATAATGGGGAATACAAATAATAACATCAGACACATTGATAAAATTTGGTATTGTAAGTCTTTTACAAAAAGTTATAAAAAGAGAAATACTCCAAATTGCTGTTCACAGTTTGTCATATTCATCAAACACCGTCTATTAAGCATCAGAAAAGTTCGTTACCTCTAAAAATTTCAACATGCAACAAAAAAAACTAAAAACCTATGCCAGTTTCAACGCAAGTGGTATAAAACAGTCGAAGTCGCCAGGACCTGTGGCATACGGTTGCACAAGTAGATCACCTTTTATGGAAAAAGATTTAAATATAGAATCCTTCGAAGTGAGGACAGGAGTAAAACAAGGCTGCCTACTATCGCCAATGATTTTCCTGATTGCAGTAGATTGGATAATGCGTCAAACAGCGGGCAATGAGGAAACAGGCATAAAATGGACTCACACAAAAGAAAAACTTGGAGGATCTGGACTTCACCGATGATATATGTCTGATTTCCCACAAACTGGAAGATATGCAAGTGAAAAGCAACAAATTGGCAGAAAAAGAATCCAGAGAAGATAGAACTTCAGGTGAACATAGAGAAAACAGAGGTAATGAAGATTCCTGGACAAGAACAACAACAACAGACAACGATCAGCATAAATGGGAGGAACCTGAAAGAAACAACCTCTTTTACCTACCTAACTAGGAAGCATCATCTCAACTACAGGCGGAACTGGCGAGGATATCAAAGCAAGGATCGGGAAAGCAAGAAAAGCTTACACTACTCTCAAGTCTGTGTGGAGGTCAACAGCACTCAGCATCAAAAATAAGATCCGGATTTTCAACTCCAATGTGAAGTCAGTGCTACTTACCATATGGATCAGAGACTTGCACTGCGCGTCATAAAGAGCATCTCAAACAAACTACAGACCTTCATTAACAGTTGTCTTCGCTCAATACTACTCAAGACCAGATGGCCGGCCAGAAAAGATCAGCAACAGGGATCTCTGGGAGCGAACCAACCAAGAACCGATTGTGAAACAAATAAGCAGGAAGAAATGGAGATGGATTGGTCATACTCTGAGGAAACCATCAGGTGACATCACTAGACAGGCCATCGTTCCAGTGGAACCCGAAAGGGAAGCGGCGATTTGGTCGTCGAAGGGTGACTTGGAGGTCATGTGAAGAGGAGATGAAAGTGTGTGGGCAGACATGGAGCCAGGTGAAGGCTCTAGCAGAGAACCGAACGCAACGGAGACGCACGGCTGAAGCCCTATGTTCCTCTAGGAATTAAAGGAAATAATAATAATTACTGGGTTGACTACAGCGTATACAATAATGTTAATAGAACTATAGCAGAAAAACGTAGTTCAGTGATATCTCAAAATATCAGCTAGTAATAGGTAGAGATTACACCTTATTCGATGATAATGGCCGTGTTCAGCATAGCTTAGCGAATGTAACGTCTCCAATTGCAGCACTGCACTGGGTAGTGAACCGGCAGCAAATACCTGAAGTAAGGTTGCGAATATACCTCACTGAGGAGTATGAGTAAGTACGAAAGGCACGTCTAAGAGAATTCCTTTTAGCTACCCTCCAACCAACCATCCAGCATCTTTAATTCGTTATCTTCTAGACTTACTAAGTATGCACATGTATCATCAAATCACGTATCACAGAGCCGAAAAACAGACGTTAATTGCACTATCCAGTTAGCCATTACACTACATATAGTGAAATAGTCACTGTGAATTGTTGATATTAGATGGTTGGAGGCGGCAATCGGAAGGAAGCCCTACCTGACCTAGGTTTCGTGCTTATTGGCACTCACCAGTCACAGCAAGGTGTACCTGTAATCTTGAAGTAAGTCATATCCCTTGTGAGATTCGAACCCGCGTCACCCGGTGTGCTGCAATCAAAGACGTTACCACTGAGGTATTCCGATTCGTGACCGACCAATACAGTTCTACAGGAGGTAAGTCGCGAGCCCGGATACCTCAATGATAAAGTCTCTGACTACAGCACACTGGGTGATGTTTGTTCAAATCTCACAAGGGATATGACTTACTTCAAGATTACAGGTACACCTTGCTGTGGCTGGTGAGTGCCAATAAGCACGAAAACTAAGTCAGGTTTAACGAAATCCCACTTCCCCTACTAACAGCTTTTAGTGCCCTACGCAGCAAAGCAAAGTCTTTCTTAAGTAATCCAGGAAAGATTAATGGGGAGCAGTAAAGAGGGAACGTTAGAATACAAGAGTTGACAAACTGAGAAAGCAAAGACTGCTTTATACCAGACTGCCTTAACTTCCTAACGTAGAACGTCAAGCGAAACATCTTTCTAGTAACTAGCAAGATGTGAGAGGACCAGGAAAGATCGGAGGAAATCCTCAGTCCAAGGTATTTGACATTAGAGGTAGTTTCAATCTCTATGCCATCAATGATAGTGGGACCATGTGAGCTAGCTAGTTGTTGTAGGTCACGTTTTCGTCTGAAAGTGAAATTTACTACCTGATATTTAGACGGATTCAGCTTAGGACCGTTTGAAGAGGACCACTGACTAATTTCCGAGAGAAAGTATGCACGGACTGGGGTTCGATCCCAGGGCCTTCCGGTTACAAGGCAAGCTCGTATTCCATTCAGCCACTGGCCCATGAATTCTAACTTCTACCAATTCGTGTTTTTAGCGCGACCATCAACTAATTTCATCGGCGGGAAATCCATCCTCATTCTTGTTATTATTTCAGCAGCAACTTGCTACAATATGGGCAACACGAGATGTGCCACACAAAACAAAAACAATAAGACACAGTATAAGGAAGAGAAATGGAGTAGCTGGGGAACAGAATTATGCAAACTCGCAAGCATACTTATTCAGGGGACTTATCACCGCATGCTACTCTCAGATTACGATTCTCAGCCATATTTGATAACAACTCAAGTCAGTGATTTGGACTGTCATTCGGGGTAGCGGTGCAACAAGAGATGCTAAACTAATGACAACTATTCTCTATCCCATGACAACACGTCATGGATTGAACACCACCTGTCCGCTCCTAACCGACCGTTTAGTTAGAGTTAATTAATTAGAAATATGAAGGAGTCACATCGCTTGCAGGAAACTTTCGTCATTATTGAGTGTAGAAATGCTACAACTAATTCCCATTCCATAGTAGTTTAACTAACGAATGAACGGTAGTTAGGTAAGTGGGTAAAGTGAGACAAAAAAAAGTGTGAACTACATTTACACTAGAAATTAAAGATGTTTCATAATATCCTGTTACATTAACAACGATTTATTTACAGTTTTCCGCAAACCGTGTAAATAAAAGATTGTAGAGCACCAATATTAAGAATAAATCAGAGCAAACAATAATGGTCTGCTTAAATAACTAGGCTACCCGATTTTCTTTCCATCAGAATTTCTCTCATTTACTCTATTTTATTTTATTTTAATTACCCAATTACATCTCTGAGTTGCAGTTTATACTCAAGCCCGTTTTCTACTTAGCAAGAGACCTAGGAACAGAGTCAAATACAGATGTGTAATCAAGGGAGGCACACCGAACATATTTGGCTCCTCTATCTAAACTAGAGACTATATTATGATGTAGAACAACAGCGGCATCTAAGGTACTCCTACTATGTTTATAGGCAAACTGGTTGGGGTCATTAAAAGGCTTTAAAGAGGGTTCAAGATTAAGTAAAATAAGTCTTTCCATAACTTTTAAAAAAGGTGAGGTAATAGCAATCGGTCGAAACTTAACAGTAGGTCCACTTGTTGATTTAGGTACTGGAACAACCTAGATATTTTTCCATGAGTCCGGAATAATACTTTGGGAAAAGGATTCATTGAAAATGTCGGTTAATGGGTAACATAAGATGTCAGCACACTTCTTAAGGATAACAGCAGGAACTCCATCAGGACCAAGGGACTGGGTAGGTTTGAGAGATTGAAGACAATTAAGGACATCGTTCGTGTTAAAACACGAGAAGCAGTCATTATTTATACTATTAGATTTGGGAATCATAACATCTGCAGGGATACATATGAAGGATTTATTAAGCATATCAACATCAACATGTGTATACATACCAGATCATTTCTTTCTTCTTTAATTTTCTCAAGCGTTTCTTCCAGTTCTAAATTACGTTGTGTCAACTGACTGACCATTGTATCAATGCCGAGGTAAGCATCCACTTGTTCTTTTAATTCAATAATTTGTTCAACACTATCTTTTAAATTTTTTGTTAATCGTTCTTTTTCTGTTT